TCCAAGATAGAAATATTGGCTCGTCATATTTGTTGTAAAATTCAATTTTCTCAATAAAAAAATTGCAAGGGTCTTCCAAATTTATTATTAATAAGCGACTTCATTTTCAATTTATCTGTAAGAAATATATTATTTTATTTTTATTTTATAAGTCAAATATGATCTAAATTTCAAAGACCTAAGCACATTTTATTCTAATAATGTTTCTAGAATTATCAAAAAGAGATGAGGCCTTGCATTGTTGTGGTGGAAGACGACGTCCTTCTGATTTGCTAATTCTGAACTCTTTTCCTGAATCCTGGTGTCGTTAACAATACTTATTCGACCGAAAGGCAACCGACCTAGGTATTTCAGTCCGGATAATATATTATAATTGAGAACATTGTCAACATATGCCAAAACAAATGCTGTCTATAAAACTTATGAATAAGAAGATTATTTTTTTATAGAATGGTATAAAAAAATAATCCAACTTAAGAAGAACAATTATAATTAATTGGTCAATATGGTACAAAAAATATATTCTACATTAAGTATACACCCCACTGACATTTATTTACACCTCAAGCTGAAAGAGCCAAGTATCTGGGAATTCACCTAGGTCGTCGTAGTTGGAAGAACCACGTAAATGCCAAGAGGAAGCAATTTGCATTACAATTATACTGGCTATTGGGAAAAAAAACTAAAGATATCTAATAGAAAATAAAGTGCATCTTAACAATATACATAATACAAAGATTGGAATCGAAGACATTGAGGCTGATGCACCATGGTATTGCACCACCGAAGCAATTATTTTGTTTAGCGACACCATGCTACTAAAATGAGACATCAGAAATGCCAGCACAAACTACAATCAGCGACTGGAAATCAACCCAAACTATCTAGCAACAGGATTGACCAACATCGACGGTGACTCAAACGATTTAACTACAAGATTTGCCAAACCGCTTTTAATAACTGTGTAAACTATGCGTGTTATAAAATTATTGATAATATAAGCGTAAAATGCTCGAAGTGACGGATGGTTTCTGGTCCATTCCTTTTGTTTTTCTGATCAAAAATTTATAAAGAAAATAGACAAATAATAATCATTTATAACTTTTTAGTTATACCCAGCGCATCCACCATTTTATTTTAAATCAATAGTCAGTAACCTCGATTAACTAATGGGCATTCCAAAAAATTACTTAATTAAACAAAACTTCGATTTTTACACTAAGACCAGAATGCCATTATAAAGTTGTTAAGGTTTTCTAAATCTTGCACTGAAAAACTAGCATCTTCTGCATTCAATAAATTTCGAACATTCTCTTCAACTACATTTTTTAAACTTATTTATTCGTTAACTTAATTTCAAGTTTCTTCGATGTTTTTTTCTTGTAATACAAATTTTTCCTGTATTTCGTCTGATAATTGTCAAACATAAGTAGCCTTGATTTGGAATAGCTTTTACTTCTTTTAAAGCTTAAACTTACGTATTTTGTTATATCTAACATTCATTAACAGAGCTAAAGCTAATTCTCTAAAGTAATTTATGGATAATTATTTATCTAACCTATTTGAATAAAAATGCTATGGAAAAATTCTAAACAAATATAAATACAGTCATAAATAATATTATCTAGTGTGCATATATAAATATATTGGACTTTCACCTATCATTTAAAACTAAAACATATTTTTTATCTAAATTTAGTGTTTTTCTTGGAAACCAATTAATCGTGTGAGGTGATGATTTACTTTGTAACACATTATTAATATAATTGACCATTGTAGAAGCCATGGGTACAAATTTCAGTTTATATTATAAAATAGCAATTGTGTGAGAGGATAGTGATACATATAAGTAATATTAACACAATAGAAAACTAAGTGGTTATATATAAAATATAACTCAATAATATATATAATACCCTTTGTCCTGACATAATACTTTTCATTAGAAATTTCATTATTTTTTATTACTCAAATTTTAGAATCGTTTTATTCAATTTCTTAACTTGGTTTTCTATTAATAATAAAAACTTGTATATAACTATAAACGAAAACTTTATTAGAACTTAAAAATAAAATTAGGTCATCTTAAATTTATTAACTTGTATTTATTGCAATAGTCACAAATTTTATATTCAGAATAAATCACTCCAATGAATAAATCAACAATGAAATCAAATATTTTGATGTCACAGAATGGACTTTTTTTCAGCAATATTTGTTTAACAAATTTTAAATTGTTTTTTTTATTTGTTCCAATAATAAATCTATACAGAAAATAAATGGAGGCATCACATAAAATACATTTTTTTTTTGGAACAGAAAAATTATTGCGGTGTTGCGGTTGAACGTGCTTTCGTAATATCAAAATGCGATCATATTAGTGGGTCATCGACGAGTGACGAGAAATGTGATTGATTGATCATGAATCAGTCAGTTTTCAGACTGGATTACATCTGTTTCATACATTTTTAACATTCAAATTTTAAACTCCATTTTTTTTAATACTGATATAATTAATAGAAATTTATAGGATTAAGCAATTACATATTTTAGTTCTTAATTGCGTAAATGTTAATTACATCTGCTAATTACATTGTTAAATCCATTGTATTCATTTTTTTTTATTACATGCATATGTTGCATTTTCTGTATACAAATATTAAATAATTTAATATAAATGTGACTATTTTATAGCAAAATCAATTATATAATATATAATTACATTATGTAAATCGCAAATTTTAATTTAATTAAATCTGTTAATAACGAAATATTATTTATGAATAATTGTTTTAATTGTTAACATACAGTTTTAACATATTATTGTATTTGCAAATGCAATGAACGTATTAACAGAACTATTGTAAATATCTTAGACGGAAAGTCTTAGGTACATATAAACCTAGAAAAAAAAAATAATTTAATATTCATCTCTATATAAATAAATTTATCTACCGACCTTGGTCTTTCCACACAAAAATGAAATTTTTATTAGTTCTGATTACAAATTACAATAAACGATTTTAACAATTATATACATTTTTAATATTCAAATTTAGTACATTTAATACAATTTATTATGTTTTGTGTAAAATTTAGTTCAATAATTATTAATAATTTTATGTGATATATTTGGTCAAATATATTGATTGAGTTGTCCGAATAGTTTGTACCGATTTGTCAGACAAATTCAAAGACAATAAGTTTATATGTTTACTTGGGCAACTAATAGCCGAATGGTTAAGTCGCCCTATCCACGTGCTAGATGGACAGTCAAATGAATGTGGTTTAGCATATGGACCTTCAGTCAATGGACAATGACTGAAGGAGTGTTAAGGACAGCAGCAGATTCACAGTCAAAGGAAATAGTGGAATCGCAGAGCATCAATATACTACTGAAGTTAAAAAAATCATCATAATGGTAACTATCCACTGGGAAAGATTACCTACCTAATGTCAACCGCAATCTTAAATTTCCTCAATGTTCACATTGATGAACATATTTTAAATAAAATTAAACGACTTAAAAAAAAATGTGTTTACTTAATTATTTAGATCTATAATTTCTAATGTTTTATCAAATGCATTGTTGCCCATCTGATTTGCTAATTCTAAACGTTTTTCTTGAATACTGTTGTTAGCAATACTTCTTCGAAATTATCTACTTATTATTTAACAAGAGCTCATAATTAAGAGTTCCTTTCCACGATTTAACTAAGCTTCACAATATAGTAATGAATACTGGTTTATGAAATTTGCAATACCTCTGTTAAATCACGTATTGTGCATTTTCAATCATGGTTTATAACTGGTAAAAGTTCCGCGAAAGTTAATCTGTAAAAACTAAAAATAAAATAATTGTTAGATCTCTTTTTCTTATTTTTTTTTAAATTTTATCGATTATGTATTCTTACCTACACTATACAATAAATAAAATTTCAGTATTTACTAAGTGTTCCGCTGTAAGAAAAGTTTTTGAAACTTTAGTCTATAAAGTTAAAATCACCAGCTAAAAAACTTATCTGTCAACAGAATATTTACTTATAATTACTTTAGTGGCATTTCTGGCTCTCCTAAATTAGAAAAGTATTAATGTCTAAAATGCCCTTCACTAAACTTTTGTTTAAAGATTTTCAGAATATTGTCTTTAACAATTCCTATATGTTCACAATTAAATTTTCGACAATCGAAATCCTTACAGTATAAAAATTTCGAAGATTTTAGAGGATTTTATTACCCAGTAATAATAATTTACTTCGTAAATAGAGGATTTTGATACTGTCGGGATTATAGTTGTCAAAATTCCGAATGTCAGGATTTTGATTGTCGGGATTTCGATTGTCACCGTGTTCAGGCATCGCCAATAGTGAAAATCCACTCAAACTTTCAACACACCCCAATATTTATTTAGATCAAAATTTACAATTTTTTGTTATTTTTATTATATAATGTAATATATGTATCTGTTCATTAAATTATTATTATACCAATATTATATACAGTGTTTGTTATTCAAAATATACACGAATACATTTTTTAATATTGCAATTCACATTTGACTTGATTAATCGAAGCGATTTAGGAGGAGTTTACGTATTTACAAAATATATACAAGTGATTTTGAATGAAAAAAAATGTACGTTTACGAAAAAATGTGATTGTGTGCGAAAGAAAGTACGTTTAATCAAATCAAAAAGTATAAATTTGCATGAGCGGAGAGAGCTTTATTGAAATTTTTTATTTCTTGCATGGCTGAGTTTTATTGCAGACCTCTTTGAAGCTTTATGAGAGAGCATTTCGAATGCGCACTTCCGCCGGCTTATTAATACGCAATAAGCAATAACCGATGTCATCTTTACAACTTTCCCAGTCCTAACTATTAAACGTATGTTTAAATGTATTTCACATAAAAAGAAAATCGATTTCATAAATTGTTCCTTGAAATAAACTTATTTAATATATATTGTTGTATGTTGATTTTTTTTAAATTTTTATTTCAGGCGATTGCAGATTTACTTCTGGGTGTATTCTGTATGCCGTTCACCCTTATAGGACAACTGTTGAGGAACTTCATCTTCGGTATAATCATGTGCAAATTCATAGCGTATTCCCAAGGTGAGTGCATCCCATCTAATTCTGTATAACAATTCCCGGAATCTCATCGACTTTTTAGCCAGCTTGCATATTTGAATGCAAAGTGTTGTGTGCATATTACATAAGCGTCGGAACACGTAGATCGCGTTGTTTTCAAAAAAGAAAGAAAGAAAAACGGAATATTATCAATCTTTAACTGGTGGCTGCCTTGCAGAATCATTGCCTTTACCCGAGCCTTTAATAAAACTAGGGGCTTTATGGCCCGAAGGGTGCGTGGGCGAAGAGCTCGTAAAAATTAAATTTGCGAGCTCTTCGCGGAGAGAAAGTGCGTTCGTAGCCCGGAATTCTCCCACTGAATAACTTATTCCCGTGGGATGAAGCTCTGATGGAATCTTGTATACACAAACCGCTGCTCTCTCTTCGCTTCTTCTTTTTTTTTTCAGACTCCTTATCTCTCGGTTAAATATTTCAAAAATCCCGGCAGCTAATATTCTCTTTTTTCTTTAAATATAAAGAAATTTATCGTGGGTTTATTTAAATCCCGTCTTTTGCAACACACATTGAATACGACCATTTTTGTCTTGTTAATATTTTATTTCGACTCGGATTTTGCGAACGTTGATTGCGTTAGATTTAACGCCCTCCGAGGAATTCGTTCCAGTTGTTTCTTGTTGTGTGTTCAAGAGGACGCGAGATGGAGCAATTAATTACACTGTAATTTGTATGATCTGGAATAATTGAATCTTAAATTGGATTATAAACTAGTTACTTCTTGAACTCACTGTTTAAATATGTCTGTCATCGCCTTGGGGACCAAAGAACACTCGAAAACGGATAGCTCTTGCAATTTTATTATCTTCATCTAAACTTGTTGTCATCTCACTCAAGAAGTACACTGTTTCTATTTACGTAATACTTTATATTTTTATTTAAATTTAAAAAATATATCTTTTATTCTTGATGAAAATAATAAACATTTATTTATTTATTTTAACATATTTATTGGTGAAACATTGACCAACATAAAATATTATTGTAGAACAAATTTAAACTATTTTTTGAATAAATAAATATATAAAAATTACATAAAATTGTAGAAAATTATAGAAAGAGGATTCATTAGAATAAGTTAATAATATGTTAATACTTCTTAAAATCTTACTAATTCTTATATATTAATTTAAATAACGTATTTTTAAATCTAGCATACAATGTATGCCAATTTTATGTGTATTTGTTAACCGCTAAATAATTTACTGAAGATTATTTCTCTTTAAATGAATTGTAAATTAAAAAAAAAACGTGTGATCTACCTGAAGACAGCAGAATTCACAGGCTAATAACAATACATGACCATATAGTTAACACCTATATTAACAAATTAAACTCTCCAAATAATGCAGAAAATCGCGCAGAGTTGCTGCAGCGCTTGAAAAAACGATTTATAGATAATTTTAATGTTGAAACACGCGTCTGCTTTTCGAAACATCATGTTTATGTTCTAATGTTCGATGTGGATGACCGGGAGCGGGAGTCTCCTAGGGATATGAATCAGGGGACGGCCGGGTCTTTCATCATGAAGGGGTGAATTTTATCATTCTTCAGATTTACTTTTATTTGGCTTACTTTTTTTTCAGAATGCATTTTTTTTATATGATTTATTGTGACTATTTATGTTTTTTGTGTCTCTGTGCGGAAAGACTTAGGTCGATAGTCCTTTGGTTGCATTGTAACTAATAAAGATTATTTTATTATTATAAAAAAATCAATACTTCCAAATCCGGAAATTTCAACAATTCAAAAATTACCACAAATTTCCAAAAATTAAAATATTTTAACAATTAAAAAAATGCTTCAAACATTCAAAATATACCATTAATATATATATTTAAAAAAAATCTATATATAAATAAATTTAAACAATTCCATAAAGACAGTATATTTCAACAATTCAAAATATTACCGTAATTTTCAAATATAAAAAAAAAAATAACCAACAAAAATACCGTAATTTTATAGAATCAAAATTTACATTAAATTTCAAGAAATCAAAAATTATAGTAAATTTCAACCATTCAAATAAATGCCTTAAAATACAAAATTAAAAATATACCGTAAATTTGAACAATTAAAAAAATACTGAAAAATTTCAACAATTAAAAAACAATATCGCACATTTCATACATTTAAAATATACCGTTAATGTAAATTATGAAAAATATTGAAAGTAAAGTGTAAATTCTGATACACAAAATAGTAAAAAAACATATTAGGACCCGGATAGGCCTGTCTTTCGGCTGCGACACACACGATTATAACACGAGAGCGAGAGGAAATATTAGAATGGAACAAAATGCAACCAACATAAGGAACAGGAGTTTGCTGGTGCAGGACGTAGCACAATACAGCATGGTTCCAGAGGAAATAAGAAGAGAAAATGACATAAAGAAGTTTAAAACAAATATGATGTGTTGGATGCGGGGTCGCGGAACGAAGATATAGAACATGGTAAACCAACAAGCCCGCTCAAAATACCGGTTCCAAGGAGCGTACCGAAAGAACCGAACCTGAGGGGCATACACATAAGTAAATAATAATAAAAATGTATAAAAAAAATATTGTAAAATTTTTCAACAATTCCGAAAAAAAAAACTGTAAATTGGAAAATGCAAAATATTCTGTAAATTTCAACAATTGAAAGTTTAAATTTAAAAAAAGTCAATTATCAAGTTTTCCTTTTATATGGTGAAGTCTCTTTTTGAATTTTGTTTAGTTTCTAGATTTTATTGATGTGCATTGATTATGAATATATTTATTTGTCAAATCAGTTATTATTTATACATTAAAAGTTAACTCTATACATTTACAACTTCATAAATATTCTGTGACTTGTACATTCATATAAATGTGACAAGTGTTTAAATTTCTTATATAAGTTAATAAAAGAAATTCAAACATATTTTAAAACTTAAAGAATCATTCAAAAGCATTCAGTTATTAAATAGATCAATCAATCAATCAAATTAAATAAATTATGATGAACACGTTATTTTTTGACAATTTTGAATATTCTCATTATTTTGTAATTATGTTTAACTATTGAAAAAATAGTCTCTGGAATTTCATCTATAATGAACGTTATGCAACTAGTGTCACTTTGTCCAACTTCCTCAATTTCCGTATATTAAACACACATTTATCGGAGCCGCAGTAACCCCGGCTTGAATTGTCTCTCCTTTGTTTTCAGAATCCGTGAACTTATATTAAAACCGTGCCTAACGTAATTGTGTCAGTGTGACACAGGCTAAGTGTAGTGGGGGAAACAGTAGATGCCTCCCCTCATTGAAGAAGAAGAAGAAATACACATTTAATCATCCATCAGACTTGTTTAACTCTCTCAAACATTGATAGTATATTTCTTATATTTACATTTTTTCATTCATTCATTGTAATATCTTTCTGTTTATTTTTTTAATTTCAGGAAAAAGTAAGGATATTAGTAAAGCAATCTGTTGCATCGATTGAACCCCATTTTTTTCGACAATTTATTCATGACAAAGCCTTTTCCATATGTTCATTACATCAACGAAAGATATCGATTTTAAAAAACGTTCTGTAATAATGGTGAAAACCGAAGTGAATAACTGCAGATATGAAAGTAGTTCATTCACATCACTATGAATTCTATGAATACAATATGAAAACACTCTCCCTTTTCCATTATATTGCACTTTAAAAATCCATCCAATTCGATACCATTACTGCATTATCCATAAGCTTATTTCAATGCATATTGAGAAAAAGCAATATTTTGTTAAAATTTTAAAGTCAAAAAGCGGCAATTATAAAATAAATAAAAATAGAATATATATCGATACCTCGCTTAATGCGGCTTCGATCAGTCCGCATTGACTATAATCCGATTTGAAAATTGCAAAAGAAACTAAATCATAAAATAACATATTACACAATTTGTTTTGATTTATCCTAAGTTTGCATTCAAGTCTCTGTTTGTGCTTTTTCTTTTAATGCAGTTTAATTAGTCTGGTTTTAAACAGTCCGGGATATTCACGGTTCTATGTGAGTTATTGCTGTATGTTTATAATCCTAATAATGGCAAAAATAAACTAACTTTTACTGTGACCATAGGTTTTTCCCACTTAAATAAAGTAATTAAATGAAAATTTATAATTTTTATGCATTTTATGATAATAACATTTATTATATGCAAATAACAATGAATCATTCAAATGCATTTTTTTATTACTATTCCATATAAAGTTGGATTTATTGGAATACAATCAAATCACAAATATATTGTCGAATATTTCAAATAGTACGAATTGGAATATAAAATGGATGTGCGTCCTCTATATATTGTTTCTATTATCATTGTGCAATGTTCTGATCCAAATTTATGCGAAACAGCGACGTCGTAAATTTATAATAAAAATATCCTGAATATTATGGGTGAACTTGCATGCATCAATGCAGTTTCTTGAAAAGACAAAGCTCACATATAACGCGAGTTCCCACAACGCACTAAAAATATTGACACAACTTTTTGATGTAACATCATTCTCGTACAACACATAATTTAAGCATATGTTGTATATACAGTAGATCCTGTTTTTGTGCGATCCTTTTTTATGCGATTTTTTTATACGGTATATGAAATCCAACCACTTCCAACTACGTTGGCACCATTGTAATGTTTTCTATCAGTGTGCATATGTACAGCCTGTTCAAATGATTCTGTTAGCCAATTTTGCGCGTTTTGGAGTGGCAGTTAATTATGTTTGAGCATTTTGAAAATTTCTCCATATGTACAATGAGAAATTAAATGTTTTTAAAAATTTTCCATGTGTAATTTAATTATTTATTTTGTTTGGATGTACTTGCTCATGTATTTCGTATTTGACGTATTTTTTAAGTACGATTTGTTTTATGCGGTCCCTATACACCGCATAAAAAAAGTTTTTTGTAATGTATTATACAAAATTATTTGTTATATGTAACAA